TAACTAAACATTTTGGCCTCTTTGGTTGGAAGGAATTTCTCGTTTTTTTAGTAATGACATAAAAATTTTATTGTGACTGATGAATTAAAGACTTTGTTATTGGAGGTTGACTATGGTGTTTCGCTGCTGTTATGGGAAAAGGAAACATCTGTAAATGTTACCTGTTTATCGGGATACACATATCTCTTTGCATTAAAGTCAATTTGCACCGTACCAACTGAAACACTGCTTTATGCTCAGCAAACCTGAACACTGGCCACAGGCCATTGCTCAATACCAGAGTCTGTGGTGGCCTGTCACTAGTTAAACCTTTACACATTTCTCTGCCATAGAAACAGTGACAACCTAATCACACATTTACACCAATAAAGGCCTAAACACAACATAATTGCAATAGCCAATTCTAAAACTACAAAATGAGTTATTTAAGATTAAGAGTCTTTTTAGTGTTTGTGCCTGTTTGTCCGTACATCAAGTCATTTAAAAATGAAGCATTCAGGCAGTAACTATGTATAAATAGGTGTGGAAATAAAAAGTAAATACAAAATTCTGGATGAAAAGTCAAAATTTGGAACGACGAGGGCATAGTTAACATTATCAGCGCTCAAAGCAATGTCTGCTTTCAAGTTGAGAGCAGCTCAGAGTGATTTCCTCATTTTAGTCTAGCCTGAATATTTGAGGCACAAGGAGCTATGCAAAAATAAACAAATCGCTTAAAAAAGGCAAAGAAAGCGGAAAAGGACAGAAAATAAATGCAACTTACGTTGTTTTATTTCCTGTTTCCTACCTAGATAAAACTCGACAGCCTTCTTTATGATGCTGTACATCAAGAGCTTGGAAACTACTGGCCTAAAAACATACAACCGATGTTAAAAATACTTCTTTAATTACAGCAGCACGTCATGATTTAATAGCAATGCTATAAGATTTTTCTTGAGGCTTCATTTGAATTTTGATGCGCTTAACCACAAGATCTAATTACTTAACTCAGCAATATTCTGGAAGCAAATGTCTGTGAATACTGGCTCAAAAACATCAGAAGAGGCCTCATATTGACAGGCATTAACTACACTGATACACCCTTTGGCACATCTCTGAATATTAGTCAACAGTCTCAAATGTTCCCACTTTCTCCATATCATCAGTAAATGATAGATCAGAAATGATGACACCTAACTGTGACATCTAATACTTATTTATAACTAGCAAACACTGAAACTAACTTTATCCGTGCTGTTATTTTGTAAATGCTTTACTCATAAGTTGGTCATTCCCCTTTGCCAAATCAACCATGGCACATAAAATCGTTCAGTCAGAATTCCATAAGTGCCATGTGCACTGTAGCCCATGCAGAGCTGATGTCATTGGATATATGTTCATCAGCTAACCTGGGTAGTATTGATAGAAAGTAAATGAGGCGTAAAAAGGAGAGGAAACTGACAGAGAATGATCAAAGCAAAGAAAAAAACTAACAGAAAGCAGACATGCTGTCAGCTTAATAGGTATATTTAGAGTTAATAACTGAATCACTGCATGAGCTGCATTATTAACTATTTTGGGGTTGTTACACAATGTACTAAATATAATATGGTGGCAATTTATTAGCACAGATCATCTTTGCAAGTGTGGATAACAGCTCTATTTTCTCTCACGCAAAGACAAACACATCGACACAGACATGGAGATGCAGTGACACAAGCGCACATGCACAGTCTGAGATCCCAAGAGATAGCTTAAACTGTGCATCTGATGCAATACTTAGTAACATCCCTGCAGGCTACCACAGTCTTCACCTCCGTGATTCCTTTTTGTGGGGCCCAATCGTGCTGACGGCGAATACAGCAAATCCCCATTTGTAAATAAAGCAAGCTAATCACCTGCAGCAAAGGGGAAATTATGGCTTTGCTATCGCTGTGTTTGCGAAAGTGCATTCTTCTTTCAAACACAGCAAGAGCTTTGCCGTCGGTGGAATCTGAACTGTGTTCACATTCACACAGTCAGAATTACTGATAAATGTCTAAGACAAGAGAAGTTGAGAGAAGCAGCAGAAAGATAAAGGTGCCTTTGCCCTTTGAGAACTTTCCGTATCAAGTCCATTTTTTTTTCATTTTCCTGAAACTTCTCACTTCTGCTTTCGACAAGATCAGCCGCGACCCTTTTAGAGCATGTGGTGAGGCTGTCGAATTCAGAAATAGCCTTCATGGTCAGTCTACATGTGTGAGAGCAATTGTTCACATTGAGTACCTTTATAGCTACAGTCTTATCTGCATCTCAACAGAATAAGGGTTACACCTTTACCTCCCCACCACTCCCCACCAACCCCCAACCTCTAACAGAACAATAAGGCCTCTGTAACTCAAGTCACGGACTTAAAAGTATGTCAGGGTGCTTGTGGTCCAGCAGCGTGTGAATGAAGTGTGTGAATATTCAATATTAATTTGATCAAATTCTGGAGATGTAATTTATTTTTATACAAGGCAATAAAAGTGGGCGTAAAAGTGGAAGGGCAGATGAGAGTTTAGGCACATCTCTGTCAAGCTGCGCATACTTCCAAAGCTACTTGTGAAATGTTAATTAGATTCATCCTCTGCAGAGCTGAACTAAGAGTGGCAAGAATATTCTGCATTAAACAGAGGTTATCTTAGGTGGTTATCCTTTTTCAAATTCCCCAAAACCTGCCATGGTCTCATTTAGCATGCCCAAGAATAACTTTACACAAGTTTTTTTTTTCATCCTTCATTTGTTTTAATATTATTATTATTATTTGTATAATTTATTTTAACTTACTGCATATCTTTTTATTTTATTTCTGTGTCTTGTTTATGACAATCAATTGCCTGTTTAAAAGACATACAGTAATCCTTTAATCACTTTATGAGGACAGGAGGCTTCAGCAGAAGTAGGTTAATCTAAAAAGAGACACAGCCCTGTTATCATCATATCTACACTGCCTACATTTAAATATCAAGAAATAAACTTGATTAGAATATATAGATATATATATTTTTAAAAAGCATACATTTTTGTGCACACCTTAAGTTTAAAACCTGTTTTAATGGTTAATAATGGGATAACAGGAAATATGTCTTTACTCTCTCGGGGTGTTTTGTCTTTATTTAGTGAGCTCAGCGTCTCCCTTGAGCACGTCGAGGCATTGTTTCTGTTGATCCAAGAGGGGGAAAAAAGTCCATTGTTGTTGCGAACTTTTTAATCTGGGGATTTAAAGCCCATCACATGCTCAGACCGGACTGCGGAGCACTCCACGAAACACGTGCAAAGAAAGGCGTTCTTTATCCTCACACCGCAATGCAAGCGCACTTTTCTGGACTTTAGGATCGCTGGAGGATTGTGTTTAAGAGCTAAGAACCGGGAAACCCTTTTCCCCCTTTTCCAGGAGAAATCTGACCACCATCGTTTAAAGATAAACATGACGCAAAAGTACAGCCAGCGGTCTTTAATTGTTCTGTCTTTACTGGGGATTTTATCGGCCATCATGTCGGTTTTATCGGTGATTTTGATTTTCCAGCTGCAGTCACAGCAGACGGCGGTGAAGGAATCACCCCCGTCCACCTCCTCGGTCGTACCCGCTCATGTCTGGGCCGTCCTGCTGCCAGTGGCCACAGTGCTCTCCGCTCTGTCCCTCACTCTCAACTTGAGCTCTGTGGTTGTGTGTCTCCTCCACAGCTATTTTTCAACGGAGGTCTGCAGAGGAGAACAGGATACAGAAAGGTATTTGTTCTTGCGCGTTAAGGCATTTCTTTTCGACCACCTGTTAGACAGCACCTGCAGCTGTGGTAGCACTCAAAGCCACTGTGCTCATTTCCATTTTTTTTCTCTTCCTAATCTCGATCCGGTTTTTTCAAACAGGCAGTTCCGGTCAGTTGTGGCACACCTTTGACAGTTAAGAAAACCACTATTTACCCAGAAAGGCGACGTCTGAAGCAGCACTGCGCGTTTTTTGCCCCCTCGCCCCTAGGCCTTGTTAAAGTAGTTGAGTGCTGCTCGCAAAGCAAGGTTCAAAGTTCACGGTTCTTTATTCGTCACATGAATAGTTATACAAGTATAAGAACATTATATATAATATATACATTAGGTGAAAGTACAGTAGTAGCATGTTTGCAGC